GAACCATACCGTATACTCGCTTTGAGTGTAAAAAAAAACATAATCCCTCGGCTAGGGTTAACAAAAAAAATTGAAAATTATTACTTTCCGCTTCGCCCCAAAGCACACATCTTACTAGAATGAAGACTCTTAAACTCGTATCGATCCGGGAATAATGACTGTAACCTTGTGAACTAGTTCAATATTGACTTAGAATGGAGGTTTTGACAACACGAATAGTTCATTTTCACATCACGTCAACGTATCTCGTCCTGTGTGCATGTAATATTTGCTACCGAACATTTATAACCATTCAATCAATCAATAATTTCCGTATACTAGTAGATGAGAAGTTGGAACTGTTATTATAAAAAAAAGTACACATTTTCCAGTACATGTTTTACGTTTTTATTTATTTTACAAAAAAAAATCTTTTATATAGATTCGATAATTCGAAGTCGTTTCTATATGGGCCGGCTATACGAATGATTGATTGTAAAACCATTTAAATAAATTGCTAGTTCTAACTCGCTTTACTGGACTATTAGGTCATTCAATTTTAAAAAGAACTGTCTGTCCGAGTAGGACACTAAACTACTGATTCTTCACTGTTCGAAAGATACACCAAACTTTTATTACACGTATCTTCACTGTTATCATCTAGATATTGCCATACAACTGGTCGAATGCATATGCATTTGTTAATTAGCTGTCTAATTAAAAACGCAGATCATGAAAAAGATCGTGATCAAAGTACCATTTACTCTGAAAAAGTTCATTAATTTCAACTTCGAATATTCCTAACTACGTAAATTCGAAATTCCCATCTCTCTCTTGTAGAGTTTACCCACAAAATTTTTAAACATCTAAATACATATGTTAAGCAAAATATATGAGAATGTGTCCACCAAGTATTTGGTATCCATGATGTTTTGCTAACAGAAACTCCACATATAGTATTGTGTTTATGTTTATTGTTTGTTTTTTTAAATCTACTTTGCTCAATACAAATACTAGCATATGGAACAAATCTCTGTGATTCTAAAAGCTTTCACGTACAAAAAACGCAAGCGACAATGATAAGTCTTCATTCGACTCGAAGTTAAACAAATAGTTGACCAAAAAACCACAACAAAAATGTCCAAGTTTTATTTCGGTTGTGATTGTTTTGAAACGCTATATATGCGGAACTTCCGGGGGGCTTCGCCACCCTGTCCCCCTACCAGGGCTTTGCCCTGGACCTACTGGGGGCCTTAGGCAGCCCCCAGACCCCTCGCCCTATAGTTTGTGATTCAACTTCATTAAGAAGGTAGCTACGCCCCTGCGTCCGATCCGTCCGATCAGTCAAATATTTTTATCATAAATCTGACGGATTGGTGACGTGAGGTTGACGCGAACTTGACTGATCGGTGACTGATCGATGACCGCTGATTGATCGCTAAAATAGTAACGCCTAAGGTTGCAAGTACTGTATATATATTTTAAGATCAGAAATTGGATAAAGTAAAATTGTTAGCGTTCACATCTGTGACGACCAATGACTGGAGATAAGATTTTCCTTGTTCAACAACTTATTTACATGTTTTATAAAACAGGAAAATAAATGCACTGATTCAACCGTTTGTAAGCGATCTGTAAACACAAAGTTTTTTTACATTTATTTGGCAATAAGCAAGTGAACTGGTAAGTTTATATACTGTTAATTCAAAAATTATTGCGATTTTTGAAGAATGGAAAATAAATGCCAGATTATTTATTGCAATAATAAGTAAATCTGCATACAGATATACTCATCCAGCCGCATTATTCGCAATAATAAAACCTCGCAAAAATTTCTGAAATTACAGTATAAGATTATTATTAGTTTCGTGAATGAGGATTTATATGAAATAACAAATGCTGAATAAGGTTTATACAGGCAGTGATTCAGGAAAAAAGACGGAAAAAATGTAGGAAGGGGCATATAATCTATTTTCTCTCTAATCTTGCAAGAAAAGGTATGTCTAAACAAGTAGTTATAACCACCCCTAATGAATTTGTATTCCTTTGTTTAGGTTATTTGCAGATTAACATTCAGACGTTCTTCATATTTTGGTAACTTGTATCTTTGCTTTAATATTTTGCCATAGACGCCAACATTAATCCAAATATGCGGTTTTACTGGTATAAACAGTAAAACTGGTTTTATGTGATCACATAATTAAAGGTCAGAACGCAGTGTTATCAAGTAATCAATAGAAATAATGAAATGACAGATCTATGCACTCTGAACTATCTTAACAATAAAACCGTTTTGAAGTTTATGAGGGTTTATATAAGTTTTAGCTTGTGTCAATCTCTATCCTAGTTTTCGTTTCGATTTGAATTAATTTTGCTAAATACACCACGTATTGAAATTTTGACAACATGGACATCAATATCGCGAAAGCACTTCAAAAAAGGATGTAATGAATATGTACTGCATTAAAGAATCATCTACAATATATACCTAGCATTTCACTGATCGTTATTAATAGTTAATGCTGATAATATATAGCAATGTTATCTGTATATATATATATATATATACATATATAAGTAGTGTGGTCTAGCGCGTCGGATACAGTGCAGGCGATTTGGTGTCACGATATCTCAGTAGCATGAGTTTGAATCCCGGCGAGGGAAGAACAAAACATTTGCGAAATCAAATTTAAAGATCTAACATTGTTGGGCTGATGTTTAGACGAGTTGTATATACAGAATGTACACAGCCATGTATCACCATCACTGCTGGTGATCCGATGGATAAATCTGTTGTCACTGGTTCAGACGTACTTATAAATATAATTATTTCTGTGACTGTATCTTGCATTAATTTGTAGGATCCTTTACAATAGATATTTCAGCTGATCTGTAACAACTCCATCTTCATGCCTTATATATCATGTACTGTATTACGACGCTAGATTAAAACTGACGAGGAAAAGTAACACCCGGCCACCAAAAGCTTTATTATTTGTGAAGCCTAGGTGGTCGTGTGGTCTAGCGCGTCGGATACAGTGCAGGCGATTTGGTGTCACGATATCTCAGTAGCATGAGTTCGAATCCATGCGAGGGAAGAACAAATTTACCAGTAACTAATCTCAAAGTGGACTTCAGACTTACAATCAAATGTTTACTTTTCAATTTTCATGATGGACATAAAATTTAAATAAGTAGTTGAATGTCATACATGTACCATTATCACTTTATCGTTCAATGACTCAACACAATAAATATAACTTCTTAAACAAAATGTTTTTAAGTATACAGATTTTTTTTTTAGATAAACATAAAATACACATTAAAGGAATATAAAGGTTGAACGGCAATGAAACATGAAACATTGTATTTTGTATGTAAGTGGTGTGGGTGTAAAACGATCGTATGAAAGGATTTTAAAAGACGGACAAGCCTAAATTGATACGTACTTGATATTAAATATTTTTCATGTTCCTTAAACAAATTGAATATTAATCCTCGTATGAATTTTAACACGACAGTTTTTCAATTTTATTTTACTGCGGGGGTTTATTCGTTGGTAATAATTTGTTGAGTATATCTAATGTACAAATGGACGAAATGTGATTATTGAAAAATACCTCATCAAAGACATTTTGTATATGAATAAAAGGAGATGTCGGATGAACGATAATGAATTTTATTTAAATTACTAAACTGCACGAAACAAATTAAAAACAAATAAAAACACACGTAAGGGCAATTATATAATATTGTATCTGAATCGCCCGAGTCTAACAAGATGAGAATGTATTTAACATAAAGAATCACATATTGGAAATTACTCCAGAGAAGTGTATATGGAAAATCATAGTTGTCTATTCCGTGATTAAAATAATAGGGGTTGATTTAATGAGCTATCGAAATATTCTAAATGACGTTACATGTAACGGTTAAGATTCAAACAGCGATTTCTTTCTAACTCAAAGCGCTTCGTTACTTGCTTGTTATACAGATTTAGTGAACTCCTTATAATGGACTTCAACTTTTATGTTCATAGCTCATTACATTTCATTTCCTTCAAACAGGCAGTTTAACCAGGACGATAATTACAACACATTTTGAACATTTGTACTGTGATAATCTAAATTCTCTAGATTCAAGGTTCACATATGATTATATAAATTTGAAATAACCATAGAAACACAATTATCAAAACATGAAAACCTGTCAGACAGAAAGTCGGCTAGCTCCTCAGGCATAGAAATGGAAATGGTTGAGAAATGCTTATTTCAGCCATATATTTCTAAAATTTTTACAGAATTTCAATCAAATAAAGATGAAAATCCTTTTAAGTTTGACAAGTTGATACCCTCAAGTCATTCAGGGAAGTTGCTAAGGTACAGAATCTACATTTACTGAATTCACCTCTTAAGCCCGAGAACAGTTATTTCGTAGTGCATTTCCTTTAGACGAAAAACGCAAATAAAAAAAAAATCGCGCCTGTTCTTTCCAAAAAAGATTTTTACAGTGTAGTGTACTACTTTTGGGACAAATTATATCAAAACTATAGAAAATTCTATCGGCTATAACTCAAAATATGGATAATATTATGTTAAGGCGGTCTGTAATTTAGTTTGACAGCTTCAGACATACTAATTTTTGACCTTTTCAAACTGGACCAAATCATTACTTTACCTAAAAATGTATGCCCCAAATTTTTACATGCAATTTCATCCCCGTATTTACTCTTTTAGGCATAACATATCAAGAAATAAATTTAGAAGGTGTATGAAAAAAGTTCTACACTGTCCACACTAGGGACTCTATTCGTAGACAACGAAAATCAAAGGACGATAACTGTGTCCCGGACCAGTAAACGTTTATGAGGCTTAAGATGTATTAAAATAGGGGGAGCTATTCAGTGAGACGGGTTTCAAAAACAGACTAAACCATGACAAATATGATAACTTATACATTGTATTTTGGAAGGCATCCGTATATAAAATGTAATATTGTTGCGACTAAACATTTTTTTTAAGGTAAACCTGAGGAAGTATGACGTACTTTGTCCAAGATAGCATAAAAAGCCACGTTGAGTTAGTGGAAAAGCAACATTCCATTGACAGTCTAATCAAAGAGAAGATTAACCAGATTGGATCGGATGTATGTTACTTTATTTTGTTAGTAACAAAATAAATTTTGTGATATTCAATTCAATTTACAGAGCTTAAAAGTAAACTCTGATTTCCTATTTACATAAGATATTTTAATCATAAAGCGTAACATTACAATTGGTTGATATTTACTACTATATATGTGTACATAAATACGTTGGGGATGGAAATTCGGAACATACACACACACACACACACACACACACACATCAATGAGTATATGCATATTTCGAACAAGTCATCATATAAATTTAAAAATAGGATTGGAATCTTAGGGGAAGAAAATTAATGGACATATTAATGTAGCGTAATTTTTTTTTAAACATTAAAACCAAATATTTGGACCAATTGCAAGAGATTAACAGTATAGTACTTACACTAGTGCAAATATTGAAAGCATTGCTTTCTCTTACAATCACAAATTAAAGTTTTATAATTGAAATGTTACGATAAATGAGCATTAAAGAAAAAGAGGTATTAAAGGTTTTATTTTCACATCATTTTTATAATAAAAAACAAATGTTGACTCAGGAAAGTTAACAAGTGACACTCATGTCTGCTTAAAGTGACACCTCGACAACAATAATAATATATACATAAAACAGAGCATTCAAAAACAAGAGAACCTGTTACACATGTTCTCAATACTTGAAGTGGTTGTTTACCAACATGATATTTCAAACACTAGTTACGAAATTATATATCAAGCTATATATTTGATAGGAGAATCCCTTCTTTATTGGCGATCTAGGAGACATTATCAGAAAACACAGGATTTGGCAAAAATGCTTGCCAACAGTTGTACCATTCTATGGTAAATATTATTAAATGATAATGTTTTCTGTACTTTACAAAATCAGTTTCGAGTAACAAAAAGGAGCCTTTCAGTGACAATACACAACGCACAACACTTATTTGGTGTCGACTGAATGATAACTTGTAAAAACTCTACCAACTTGCCATTTAGACAAATAAAGAGACAAAAAGGTCTTGTTTTATCAAGTTTATTTACTTGAAAACGATGCCAATCTATAACTGACGAATAAGATTTATGACATACACAATGATTTCAGCATTCCTATTGTCATTTTTACACTCTATGGCGTATACGTATCAAAGACAATGGCAATTTGTAATTTGAAAAATGACAAAAAAATGAAATATCAATTATATGTCATATCAACAATAAAATGCTGACTACTGGGTTGATGATACCATCTGGGACGAAACTCTACTAGCAGAGGCATCGACCAAGTGGTTGTAGAATCTTATCCAAGATACCAGGTTTATAACTTTGCACGCCAGACGCGCGTTTGGTTTTCATAAGACTCAATAGTGGCGCTCGTACTAATATAAAACGAGCTAGATATGGTATGATAACATATGAGACAACTATCTACATAAGTTAATATGAAGTGAATGTAAGCAATTATGGGCATATGAACGGCCTTCAACAATGAGAAAATCCCATACCGTTTAATGGGCTATAAAAGGCCCCGACATGAAAAATATGAATCCAATTCTGAAAAATAACGGCCTAATTTCTTACCAAAAACACACAAATATGACAGACATGACCTAACGACGATCACTACACTATGATACTTTCATTACATTATACATGCCAGTTATATCTGTCATAAGACAAATTTAAATGTATCAGAGGTGGTGATAAGTTATCCCACATACGACATATGATCGTAACTAGATAGTTGATAATCATTGTAAATAAAGGCGCTGTTAAATAATAATAAATCGATTAAACTGAAACAAATCCGGGTCACAAACCAAAACTTAGGGAAACACTTCAACTATTAGAGTGAGAAAAAAAATCACACGGAACAACAGAAACACTGAACTGCTACAAAAACAAACGCCAACATACATAGAAACGGACTATGTGATAACAACTGCCATATTCCAGGACATTTTAAGAGAAAATGGTAGATTGAACCTGGTTGTATGGCTAGCCACACTCTTGCTTATTTGACAATGTTAAAAATACCGCTAAAATGACAACATTACGTGACAGGAATACAGTACAAATAAATGCAAGAACACTCAGGACAGAAAAATACATAAATAAATAATATAATAGTACATTTCAACATGTAAACCACAGAATAATAAAGAGGCAAAGGATAGCAAAGGGACATTCAAATGCATAAGTCGAAAACAAACTGACAATCCCATGGCAAAACAGAAAGAAGGACGAAAAGAAAAACAATAGTACACAAAACACAACATAGAAAACTAAAACTGAGCTACACGAAACAAGATAACAGTTAAAATACCAATACTCATACTCAAAAGTCACTGTACAAAGCATTTTTTAACATTTTCATGATTTTGTTAGTTCATAAAGTATTTTTTTATTCTTGCTTTACAGCAGTGAAATGTAATGATTTTTATCCTGTGCTGAGGCTAATGGCAGACATGGGGCTGTCCTTTGATTGTGCAAGCAAGGTAATATAATAGTTATAAAACCGTAAGGAATATCAAGTGATAACAAATAACGTATCATCTAAAGGTACACGACCAATTATTAACGATATGAAAAAACTTTATTTCTATTTCAATACAAAGATAGGACAAAGACTTAGTATTGCATATTACCATTTTTCTAAATATGTTATTTTATTTTTTTCAAAAACACTGTTAGTGTCGTCATAAAATTAAATGTACATGTGCAATATGACATGTATGGTGCAATATATTTGAAGATAAATGGCATAGAAACTAAATGTGATTGACATAAAATAAAGTGTTACAATAAATCCAATTTGATAATAAACCACATTTCGTATAGTATTTGGACTATCAATAATATTTGGATTTTATTTTGCTCATTTTGATCGTTATTGAATATTTATGTTACAGATGATCAAAAATATTTAAGTCATAACCGAAATCACTTCTCTTAATTGATTGCGAAATATTCGAAATGAACTTATCAGCGGATTTTGACTGATTTTGATGAGCAAAAAACGATACGGGTGTTATGTGTGAAACAGGAATTTCTTTCCCTACATAAGCAACTTGGTTCACTACTGGTTTTTTAAAGGGTTCATATTTGTTCAATATTATTTTTTTTTGTGTAATGTTCTGGTATTGTTTTTTTACTTTTTTGTCTTTTTCCCTTCTTTTTTGACCTAATCGTTGTCTGTATATATTCGACATGATTTTTGTAATTGCCTGTTTGCTATTTCCTTTGTTTTACTTTTCCATTTACTGCTGTCAGAATACTATCATTCGTTTTGGTTATGATGTGTCATCAGAAAATAATTATCATTATGCAACAACTGAACAAAAGCAAAAAATACTTGCCCGTTGGTATAAAGTAATGTGTATAATAATTATAATTTTTGGGAAGCTATTGTTTATCTTTGTCGTCTTTTCCTATTACCATTTAATTACTCAATTTGATTGACCGTTATTGAATATGTTTGTTACAGATGACCAATAATATGTTTCTACTTCATATTGTGAAGTTACCGAAATGAACTTATCCTCGGATTTTGACTCGCATGACCAAAGTAATTATTGCTTTTTAAATATACATCCCCTTGAAACGTTTTGTTTTAAACAAAAGGTCTAGAAATTAACCAATGCCTTATTACATGTTTGTTTCGATCACCATTGATGAGTGTAGTGTAGACGAAACGCACGCGTCTGACATTCTGAAAAATAAGACTGGAATCATAGATTATTTTACGAATGAAAAAAACATCAACGTCGATTCTCTTTACTCAATTTTATGTACTTAGAAGTAACATTTATATAGGAAAGCTAGTGTGTCATTGTACAATAACATAAAAGATGTGCTCATAAATATTGAAGCTTCGTTTTTGTGGATGAACATGAGAAAGAAAGAAAAAAAAAAACATATGACATAAAATGAGTTTGTGATTGTAAAAATTATGGTTTATAAAAAAGATGCGTAATTTGTATGTAGTCATTTTATGGTATGTCAAACGCTAGTGTGTTTTCCATGCATATAGAATGAAAGTAATGATACGCACGCGTCTGACATTCTGAAAAATAAGACTGGAATCATAGATTATTTTACGAATGAAAAAAACATCAACGTCGATTCTCTTTACTCAATTTTATGTACTTAGAAGTAACATTTATATAGGAAAGCTAGTGTGTCATTGTACAATAACATAAAAGATGTGCTCATAAATATTGAAGCTTCGTTTTTGTGGATGAACATGAGAAAGAAAGAAAAAAAAAACATCTGACATAAAATGAGTTTGTGATTGTAAAAATTATGGTTTATATAAAAGATGCGTAATTTGTATGTAGTCATTTTATGGTATGTCAAACGCATGTGTGTTTTCCATGCATATAGAATGAAAGTAATGATATGCAGTGAAGACGTAATATATAGAATTGGGTTTTTTTTCACATACGTACTGCTATAGCTTTTATTTCCTGAGTTCGAACCTAGTCATTTCACGCTGAAAGAATATATATATTGACTGATTTATGGAGCAATAATCTTTTTTCTATATCTATTTTCTCTTTAGATTGAAATACAGAAAATTCTGGATCTTGGAGTTGATCCGACCAGAGTTATATATGCCAACCCATATAAACAGTTATCATCTTTGAGATACGCCTCTGATAATGACGTAGCTATGATGACATTTGATTGTGAAGATGAACTAGAAAAGATCAAAGAAGTTTATCCTGCCGCAAAGTATTTAGGCATAGATTTGATGTTATATATTTATATCTATTGTGGAGTCAATGTCCTTTTGATTTTGTTCTGTTAAGGTATTCTTGCTTTGCAGCTTGTGAATTCGCCTTTCTTATTATTTTTGCAGGACGTATCTGATAAAAAGTATTTCACAAAAACGTATCAGAATCATAATTTCATACAATTTCATGATGCAAACTACTTTACCGAAATGAATTATAATTTCTACTAACCAGGTCAATACTGATAAAATCGTTAAAACAATAGGGCCAATACCTCTACTCTAGGAGACACAAGTTCGAGCAGCTTCATGCTATGAAACCGTCAACCTGTTCGTGACCAGTAGTATTAAAAGTGTCGCGAATAGTATACATTGATTATACTTCAAAAAATCAATAAACGTGAGTGATGTATAAATGAAACGTCTCGTATTTTGTTTGGTAACAATTGTATCGTTCCTATTAACTGGAGTTTTCCTGTTTGTCCTTCTGACCAACATTTTCTAGCTATATTTGAATGTTCCTGATCAAATTGACTTTAGTTTTAGCAATTACAAAAATCATTCTAAGAAACCTGAAACATTCAAAATGGATATACACAAATGAAAAAAATTGTAGGAATGATGTCTCATTGATATTCCCAACATCCCCTATCATGCCTATATTCAATTAATTGTTAAAAGAAGATTGGTAGAACACATAGATATAAGTTATATTTCTAACATCAAACAGGTACAAAGTGTAGGGTTCTTATTTTTCCGCTGTGATACACCTCATGTTTGCAATGAAATGGTAAATTAATTCTGTAAACTTGGCATTTTATGTCACTGTTTCCTAAAATGTTTATTTCATGTTTTAAAGACTGGTATTGCGAATATGTCCACAGTCAAACCACAAGGTACAACATCCTTTAAAAAGGAAGTTCGGGTGTCATCCTTTGAAAGCATCACAGCTGCTTGAATTTGCAAAGAAACTGAAATTAAACGTAATTGGTGTAAGGTAAGATACTTATTTTGATATGGATCTCTTCACTCGAATTTGTTTTTGCTGTGGTTAAACTCTCAAATCATGATGTGGAAAATATTACTACAATCAACAATTTAATTTTGTTCTAATTAAATGTCTAAATACAATTACCTTTAAAGTGCACATGTATGTATTATCTAGAGCATTCACCGCTATAATCCATATAACATAATTTGGTCAAGTATACACGTCTGTAGTATTGAGAACTACTGTACTTTGATTCAGTATTTAAAAAGATATTAAGTTTATATCGTATTGTTCATTACATAATCGAAAGAAGGTCAAACGAGCAGGGATAACCTAATTTGAATATCATCTATTAAGTGATCAAAAGCGTTAGATAATAACTAGCTATAGACAGTCCTTTAAAGGTGCATTTAAAATATATTTAGAAGGAAAGAAAGTGATGATATCAAAATCAAGGGGGAATATTTTGGGTGTCTAAGAGATTTAACGATATTACAGTTTCCATGTTGGAAGTGGTTGCCAGGAAGCTGCAGCTTATGAAGCAGCTATTGAGGAGTCAAGATATGTATTTGACATAGGACTTGCTATGGGGTTCGATATGACACTGCTGAACATAGGTGGAGGTTATCCCGGACGAAACGTCCAAAATGATAAAAACACATTTAAAGAGGTATTAAAATAGTTCACTATAAGTAGCGTAATGTCTTAATTTGATGAAGGGTTCTGATTTGTTGGGTTTTATTTATACACAACAACCCCTTAGGATCCTACTGATATTTGATATGTCTGTATAGGCGTACGTAAGACAATAAGATTGTTGTTATATCGAGATTTAGTTATATTTAGTACTATGTACAATCCGTATTGCTAAATACAGTATATGGCCTTACTATTTTTTTAAATTAAAAAGTCAACATCAGTTTTTATAGTTACATGGCAATAAACTGTGGTCACAGAAATATCTATGTTTCGTCTATGATAAATGTACAGTTGCAAATGATAAAAATATAGGACTATCTGCCCATTTTGAACCCATTATTATTCCAGAGTATAAACTTTTTTTTAACATGTACTTACAACACTGAAAAACAATGATGCTGTATTTACCATCTTTACTTACGAGTTTTACGAAAACTAGTGTCATTAAACATGGTTTTCATTTATCAGACCTAAATTTTTAATCTTTAATGGTCGATGAACCCATCGTATCCAAGGTTTAATAACGAAAGACGATACTGATACTGCTGTTGCATACCACTAATATCTAACTATTATAAATCTGTATATTACCTTTGAACACAAATTTCTGTAAGAAAAGCGAAAATTTAGCAAAAATGCTAAAATTCAGCGGACTATGATCATGGTTACTTATCAAATGTAGATGATTGATTTGGATTCACCTCTCTGAAATGCAACTGTATAACAAATATCACTGTTGGCTAAACAGATATATATATATATATATATATATATATATTTGATATGTCAGGCATGTAAGATTTGGTCAGTACACCATGCATATAGGGCTGATGACGAATACGATATAATAATATTTTTGCAATAATTTTCGAATAAAACATATATCACTTACTTATCATATACATTTCCTATTTGCCCCGTGACAAATATCAACATCTTTTAAGATCACGATGTAACCGGATATTTACTGTATATATTTTTTATATAATTTACTACCTTGCCCTTAAAATAAAACAATTCCCAGGAAAATAATAAAAAAAGTTATCTTATATTCAATTATATCTACTTTTATTTACTATTGTTGATTGTCAGCTGATCTGTTACAAAAAAAAAGGAATAAGAATAAATAACTTATTCAACAATTGTAACACTTTGTTTTTACTTTGTTACATGTAATGCAATGCTCTTCTAGAAACAACAAGAGAGATGGAACAAAATGTCGACAAAACTTTTATTAAAGCAATTGCGCCAATAAGCAAATTAACTAAAATCAAAGTATTCTATTTTTAAATGAAGAAAAAAAATTAAAGAAATAGGACTTGCTATTATGCATTTTTGAAAATGTCATATAGTAAAATATTTGTTTCCAATAAAAAGCAACAGAGCATACATTGAGAGTGATCAAATGCAACAGTTATTTATCGATGTTTAAAACATTTATATAAGGTAAAACTCAAAGATGTATTATGAATATACAAACAAATAAAGAAACATTACCTCTATTTGTAGATATCTTGCCTAGTGAATAAATCGTTGGAGAAATATTTCAAAGGGAATGATGTCAGAATAATAGCTGAACCTGGACAGTTTTACGTATCTTCCGCTTTTACAATAGCAACCAATATCATAGCGAAGAAAAATGTTGATAAAGAAATTGAAAATATAACACCTGGTTTGTATACATTCGATATATATTATCAAAACACATATTAATATCTATTAATCATGTAAAATGGTGATAAATATACTATAACATTTGCACTTATAAATGCTGGAGATTACATTTGTTATATGTCGATTCCTCTTCTACAAGGAACAAGCTACAAGTCTTAAAGGGCTTTACCAGCCCTTTAGCAAGTACTGGCATGAAAATACCAAAATTGGTTTATTGAAAAGATTTTAAAAATCATTCCAAACAAAAGAATGCATCTTTTGATGCATAGCTCTAATTTCTTGTCCGGGTTTGGCTTAACTAATTGCTGTAGATTGAGTTATTATTAACATACATGTATCACATATTGTCGATTGCCATTTTCAGATGGTGAATTACATGGTTACAGAGATACACTGTATAAACAAATTAGAATGTATTATGTCAATGATGGAATTTATGGATGCTTTTTTGACTGTCTTCTCTACCCTGGCTGGTTCGTTCCATCACATTTTAAGGTAACATACAATACGATATCAGCAGTAGATTTAAATATTGCGCTTGATAATGCGTAACATATTGGTAAAAACACCTTTCTTACAGACAATGAATATTATTGTTTTTCTTTTATTGATATTAATCTAAAAAACGGAAGATTTGTAGATTGTTGCGTTTCCTCACGCTAATGCAACGTGCAACCTACACAGTCAAAACTAAAAGTCAATGGGAATGGTTCTAAATTAAAAACTTCCGGTACATTATTTTTATTGTTTTATTTAAGAATAGTGAGTAATTGATATAAAACTCTACCCAAAACGAAACGCCACAAGAGAAAAAAAAATGCAGTCAAGTATTGTAAATGTTAGTTTGAAATACATTAAATCATGTTAAACAAAAGGTTTAGATTTAACGCTCTGGGGTAATATATGTAACAGTCTTTATTTACTTTTCATTTTGGCATTTATGTAAACAATTGCCTACTGATGAAATTCATTGAGCGTTTGTGGCAATATTTGTTGTGCCGTTTAGGTCTTGTCACACAGTTTTCATTGTCAATGCATGTGTTGCATTAAATACCAGATACAAGCATTCACCTACCCTTCGAAGAATTGGTTGGCTTATAGACGCTTGTTGATGTTTTACCATTAAATGCATCAATTATACGGTTATCTTATTGTAACCTTTGTACGTGTTTCAAAAATGCACATCATTTAAAGTTTTATACCAGATGTCGGGCATAGTTAAATATCTACATTATTTAACCTTTGACTGCAGTCTTGAGGTAAAAATGTTTTACACAAATTTGAAAATGTCGGTATAAATTGTAGTCTTTTTCGAATAGTTAATGATGTGTTGTGTCTTTTTGGAGAAAGTTTAAACCGAAGAATAGCGGGCATGTTGATATGCATACATCCGTAAATACTACACGGACGTTTTTAAGAATGAAATTTAAAATTCATCTACATTCAAGTCCATGTGCCCCACAGAGAGTCATATAGTTAACAAACATATCATAACCACATCACAGCTTAAGGCTTCTTCTGAACATATGAAGGCCCCCCTACTATGTATTGGTTACCTAAACACAAAAAACTAGTAAAATATCGTTTCATCTTGGCCTCTAGTAACTGTTCTACAACTAACCTTTCAGTGCGTTTAACAAGTTTCTTTACTACTATCAAAGAGCTTATCATAAACTATTGTAATAAAATAAATGAAAATAGTACAATTAACTATTTTTGGAGTGTAAAAAATTCTTTGGATGTTTTAGATAAATTGCGTGCTTTTGATGACCCTTTTGATTTTGACTTTTCTACTCTTTACACTACACTTCAACACAATCTTATCAAACAAAAATTTGACTATTTAATTAAATGGTCGTTTGGTAAATTTGAATGCAAATATATTTGCTGCAACTCATTTAAAGCCTTCTTCTCTAATGAGAAAGGTAAATATGCTAGATATACTTACTGGAGGTGTGATGAGATGATTGAAGCTGTTAATTTTGTCCTTGATAATATTTATGTACGTTTCAGCAGCAAAGTTTTTTCGACAGGTTGTAGGTATTCCTATGGGCACTAATTGCGCCCCTTTAATAGCAGACTTGTTTTTGTACTGTTATGAATCACAGTTTATGACCAAACTCAGTAAAGATCCGTCTAAATTTCATTTAATTAGTGAATTCAACAACACTTACCGTTATCTTGATGATATTTTTTTCGTTAAATAATAAAAAAAATTCTCAATATACTGCCGAAATTTACCCAACGGAACTTACTTTAAATAAATCAAATTTAAACGGTAACAACTCTCCTTTCCTAGATTTAGAAATTTCGGTTTTACACGGGAAACTCCACACTTAAATTTACGACAAAAGGGACGATTTTTCGTTCCCTATTATTAATTTTCCCTTTTTGGATTGTGAACTTCCTTTGGCACCATCTTACGGTGTTTATATTTCCCAACTCGTTCGCTCTGCCCGTGTCTGTTGTGACATTTTTGGTTTTAACGAACGTAATCTAGATATAAAGATTTTGTTTTGAAGTTTAATTGTACCTGTAGAAAACTTATTTCAAACATGCAAATCCTCAATTTTACGGCAATATTGTTTACCGTGCCCGGAAATTTAGAAACGATCCTGGTAAACTTATCGATCCTTTAAAATAAACTTATTCTAAAATGTTACCGATTCAACACTGTAATTAGATCATTAAATATTGTTTTTATTGGTACTGATATTGATTTCGTTATCAGTAAATTAAAAGCAAACTAAATATTATTGTTATATACATATTCACATTCATGGATCTACAATTTGTCGTTACCTGTATCTTGGCATTGCACAAGGTCATGTTTTTCTCTGACTATTTATGAAGTCTTTACACTAAATCCATTGGATGTTGGATGTGTAAAGATTGATAATTTAGTCTAAGATGCATGATTATTTTATTAGTTGTTAGTGGCTTTGAACTAGCTGTCAGTAACTGCGCGTACTCTCAAATCTGTACTTAGTGTCTTTTTGTTGTTTGGATGTAAAAGTACCCGGCCACGTCCACTTGTAATTGTAGTATTTGTATTTTTATCATCTGATGAGTTAAGCCTCTTTCAACTTATTTTTATAGTTCGTTCTTATGTTGTACTGTTACACCACTGTCCCAGGTTAGGGGGAGGGTTGGGATCCCGCTAACATGTTCAACCCCGCCACATTCTGTATGTATGTGCCTGTCCCAAGTCAGGAGCCTGTAATTCAGTAGTTGTCGTTTGTTTATGTGTTACATATTTGTTTTTCGTTCATTTTTTGTACATAAATTAGGCCGTTAGTTTTCTCGTTTGAATTGTTTTACATTGTCATTTCGGGGCCTTTTATAGCTGACTGTGCGGTATGGGCTTTCTTCCTTGTTGAAGGCCATACGGTGACCTATAGTTGTTAATTTCTGTGTCATTGGTCTCTTGTGGAGATTTGTCTCATTGGCAATCATACCACATCTTCTTTTTTATATATAGATTTATTTCTTTTCAGGACGACGACGAAAAAGTGTATGACAGCACAATATGGGGACCGACTTGCGATGCTGTAGATTTAATTATTGAAAACATCAAACTACCAGACTTAAAAAGGGGAGAGTGGATTTTCTTCAAGAATATGGGAGCATATGCATTCCAATGTGTGACATCTTTCAATAGCATGCCAAAAGTCAAAGAATATTTCATATGTAAAAGAGTGTTATGGTCAGTTCTTTTGTATTTATTTCAAGTTAAGTACCTGGCTTTAGGCAGCACTTAAGTAAGAAATAAGTAAATAAAAGGGTGCTATGGTATTTCTAAATATAAACAGTGAGGTGTGAGCTATTGAAGCATATTAAGTTGGAATTTGCTGTTATAAAATTTTATAAATCAATTCTAATTAAGGAATGTATCCCTTTCATGCAAAGCTCATTGTCCAAACTTGGCTATACTTATGGTATGATCAGCTCTTCAATATAAATAAGTTGATGTGGTCTGAGTGCCAATGAGACAACTCTTCATCCAAGTCACAATGTATAAAAATTTAACAAGTATAGGTCAAAGTACGGCCTTTATTATGTTTATATAAGGTTTTGGATTTTCAAATATGCTGCCCTCGACCATCATCAAAGAGAAATTATTTGTCGACAGACGCATATTATACATAAAATTAGTACCTTTTTTATTATCAAAGACCTAAATGAGACTTTCAGACGAAGAACAACAATACTTATCCTTTTTCTTTGCTTTCTGCTTTTCAACCATATGTGTTAAAGGGACTTCTTATTGTGGATCTATACACCAAATGACTTTTTTCCATTATGCTATCCTTCAGGTAATCCCTTTAAATTATAAAAAAAAGCAAAAGAAATTTAAGTTTCGATATAATTCAATAAAATTATATCACATTAAAAGGGAATTAGCGATTTTTACTGAATAGTAATTAATCCAATGATTGACATAATATAAGGGGAACATGGTTTCATTCCGAAAAATGTTTATGTGTCTGTAAAAACTCAACAAATATACATAGCTTTGTACGCAAGACGCATGTTTCGTATAGATAAGACTCTTCAGTAGCGCTCGCAATATCAATGTAAGCAGAACATGAAGTTGTAGGGCTTAAAAAAACAAAAATTCCAAAATTTTGCGCTAAATACTGCTTAAGCAATTTATACATTAATAGCCATGGAAAATTAAATATTGATTACTATTGATAACTGTTGGTGAACCCTTCCCCTAACATGAAAAAAGCGTTATATGAATTCAAACATAAGAACAAACTTGAAAAAAACCCAGTTTGGAAGTGTTTGAAGTGGATAGTTGTCTCATTGGCAATCAAACCACAACCCCTTTTATATATAATATATATATAGAACATTTAAAAGTTAGATCCCCAGGAATTACGCTTGAATATTCTTAATACACAGGTTATCTTTTAAAGTACAACGATGTCTGCGAACCTAATTTTAAATTTAATACAAGTCAAACCATTTATAGGATTATTTTTTTTTTAATTTTCTTCCGTTATAAAGTAGTTATATATCATCGAATAAAATTGTATTACATCATTCTTGACCTAACCCTTTCTGCTTGTATATATATTTAAATGAACACAGATATCAATTGAATCCGAATCTTAATCAAACACATGATACATCATTTATAACGAGAAATTTTGTATATTTCATTAGGAATAAATTTTTCTACAGCGCTTGCTGTTTTTAAATAAGTGTCTATTTGTAGTGTAACATACCTACTCTTAAAATGTACAACTTGTTAAACACAACAATACTTTGGACCAGTACCATGTCTGGATATTTGGACAGTGTAATGTGATGTACTTCCCAACATTTTTATAAATGTTTATTATCCCTTTTTATGTATTACCCAAACGTCTAAATATCTTAAATTGCAATGTTTTATTAAACCTTTTTAAAAGACAAACTTTACGATATTCTGCTGATATGGTTATGCAAAAATGATTGCGATTTTTTTTTTGTTTTAGGGAGGAAATATATCCACTAGAGCAAAGTCGTCTCATCAAGACAACACAAGGGGAATGATGAGCACATTGACTGATGTCGAATAAATAAAACATTCACAACTTGTAATAACTGATCTCAATCTTGCAAAATGAGGTCAGACGTGCCATTGTATATACAAAAAAACTATAGATATTTTTAGTTCTGGTATTTTATTGGACAAAATGTAACCAATTGATAATATGGTTTTAAATGTATACAATAAATCGTACAACACTTAAACAAAATTTAAAGAAATGCAATATATCTAGAGCAGATGATTATCTGTACAAGAAGAAAATTTCATTTCGTTCTTATGTATATGTAATTTATATGAAGAAAAAAAATGTCCCTTCGTTTTTCGCAGTCTGAAAACTGTCTTCAATAGATCACACTCTCTGGTAGCTCTTCACTTTGATATTTACATCCACATCAGCAGCAATAAATGACTTTCTTAGGCTTTATCAGCTAACTTATATCCAGATAAGACAGCAAACAATGGAATTACCACATTTGTTATATTCCGCATTATTCATGTTATTTGCAATGATTTTTTTTTAACTTTCAGTTCATGAAACAAGCATTGTTTTATTCTTAATATTCTTTTAACGTATTAAGCCAAATCGTCCAGCAATAAAAAAAAAATTATTTCAACATTTTTTTAATGTAATGAAAAAAGATTTCTTTAGATATTTTCTGATTTTTATTCAAACAACTTAAAAGCATGACAACACGTACATAAATGCACGCATGCACGTACATATATGCACGCATACATGTACACTATACATATAGATTCTACCACTGCATCGAGTGCGGTACGATATTTCTACACTCGAGAAAGTTACATTTTTAATTTTGAAACTGTCGAGAGTTGAGAAATATCGAATTGTACGAGATTTGGTGGTTGAATCTGTTTCTCTGATGACTTTTAGACGACTTGCAGACAAAACTTATCCTTCTTTTCCAATGATCTGCAAAAAGATGTGTTCTTTGTATGTAACGTCATTAGACTTGGTCGCCTTTTTTCGTGACGTCACAATAGGTAATTCAGAGAAAAGCAAAAACGTTTGACGTTATAATTGAATTTTGACCAATAAAAAACTGAGATCAAACGAACCACACGTTGGTTACAAAGAAATAATCAACAGGTCAGGAAAATGGATAAATCGGCTAAAAATAAGAGAAACATGCAAACACACACATACAAAAATAATTAAACATATTCGCTATGCACATGATAAGGGTTTATGGAGTAAGTAACCTTCATCTATAGGTATGGTACAAGCGAAAAATTAGGAAAGCGAAATATTGATTTTGTTTTAAATGATCCTCAATGCAAAAAGGGAAGCCATGATTATCATTATGTTAAAAATTGTTTTGTAAATGTATTATTGTCTGCCGGATAATATCTTTCACCATTAAGCAGGATCAGACAAATTTTTCCTAGCATTTACACGTACAGGGATTTACAAATGTATATTGTGAGCTACCAATCTCATAACAGATCTTATGTTTGTTTTGCCAGCGGAGTGGGACGGTTAACATGTACCATCTCTTTTTTTCTTTGAAAAAACTCTTTTTGTTTAGAAATGAAAAATGGCAAACAAATCTCTAAGAAGGAGTAGGAAATAATGTATGAATAGATATTCTGTGTCCTTTCGTATATTACCACATTGTGCGCCAGATTTCAATCAGCTGCAGTAAATTTAGCTGATTTTTATGTGATCGTTGTTCTATTTTAGGTAAGTTTACTGCTGTAAATTGAGACATCATTAATATACATTAAAAGCACATTTCGTTTTATGAATTATCAAAGTATTCCCATGAAGAAAGGCATACGATATCAAAGTGACAATCAAAATCATAATTCGAAAATGAACTGACAACGCCATGTAAAAAAACCGAAAAAAGACCATAAAACAAACAACAGTATACAAAACATAACATAGAAAACTAAAGACTGAGCAACACGAACTCCATCAACAACCGGGGGTGATCTAAGATGCTTCGGAAGAATACGCAGGTCCTGCTCCACATGTAACAGCCGTCGTGTTGCTCCTGTATGTACAAACTCGGTGATAAGTCGCTAGATCACATTCGAGGAAAATAGGACGGGATAGGGGTCACTTTAATTGGAACATATCCGTCGTTATCTGTAAAACAGGTATTCCATAACTGTCAAACATTCGTGATGGCGTCCGTAAAATGTTTGAAAGAATGATTTCAACTTCATCTCTTGGAATTCTTTGTTTTATAACTTTCTATTTGTTTGGTTCACATATTGTTGTCAATATAATGGAATTTTAAGCGACTGACATACAAGTGAGAGGTTTAGTTAACTTGAAATTTGATAAATCGATTGCAAATTTATTTGCTGAAACACATAAACAAATCCAGTTTCTCAAATACTGACACCGACAATTCAAAGAAACATGAAAGAGTTTCAAACCAATATCATCAATAAATGATGTTCAAACAAGGACAGATATTTTTCCGCAACGGAAAAGAAAAACTCAAGTTTGTTCACCATGTTGAAGATAGTCAAGGTATCACCATACAAAGTGATCAAACATTTGGAATACACAATAAAATTGAGCTCTCAGATATAACTAAAATAGATATAAGAAGATGTGGTATGAGTGCCAATGAGACACCTCTCCATCCAAGTCAAAATTTATAAAAGTAAACCATTATAGGTCACAGTACGGTCTTCAACACGGAGCCTTGGCTCACACCGAACAGTAAGCTATAAAGGGTCCCAAAATTACTAGTGTAAAACCATTCAAACGGGAAAACCAACGGTCTAATCTATATAAAAAACGAAAAACGAGAAACACTTATGAACCACATCAACAAACGACAACTACTGAACATCAGATTCCTGACTTATGACAGGTGCAAACAAATGCAGCGGGATTAAGCGTTTTAAATGGTACCAAACCTTCACCCTTTTTCTGAAACAATAGTGTAACATCACAACACAGAAAGACACACTATAAAATATCAACTGAAATAGCTTAACTCCATCAAAGGACATATTAACAGCATTGAACATACACTGAACAAATAAATTTGACCTATGATACAATGTAAATACAAAATAAATAAACTAAGGGAAGAATAATAAAAGTTATATGTTATATCGGTATGAAATGTTAAACAATTAAAGAAAAACAAGCCTGTCAACAATTTATTGCGACTTGATATGTACTGCGGTATTAGATAAAAATAAAAATTTGCCAAAAAGTAGCGATGGAAGTACTTCCAAGTTACATGTAGATAAATCAAAAACGTTATTAACAAGCATGGGTAGTTCAGAAATATCAAAAACTTTATCAACAAGCATGAGTAGTTCAGAAATATCAAAAACTTTATCAACAAGGATGGGTAGTTCAGTTAAATCAAAAAGTATATCAACAAGTATGGGTAGTTCAGTAAAATCATAAACTGTGTCAACAAGCAAGGGTAGTTTAGAAAAATCTAAAACTTTATCAACAGACAAGGGCAGTTCAGAAAAATCAAAAACGTTATCAACAAGTATGGGTAATTCTGTTAAAGCTGAAAAACAACAGTAGAAATGTCAACTTTGTCAGAAAATTTCAAAAGATTATGTTGAAAAGAAAGATGGACAGCACATATGTACAGGTTGTGAAAGCCTGTTTACTGGAGAAGATAATCAGACAGATGGAGGAGAAAATATGAAAAAAGAGCCAGAAAAAAAGAAAGAGGAAAATGAACTTACTTTAATCTCAGTATACTGACACTTAATATTTAACAATGTCAATGACCACAAAAACAAATTAGTTTTATTTTATGGCAATGTTTTGAAATTTTTTACTTTTGAAATATATATTTAAAAGATTTTAAAGCACAAATGCCCACATTTGTAGTTGTTTTACACAAATGCACACTTTTTGCTGCATGTGAAATTAAAATTGGCGTCAGATAGTTACCGAATTCGGGAAAGGGATTCCGGTATTGGTTAGAAAGTAACTCTGTCTTTACCTGTGTATACGATATTATCACATTGCATTTTACTGTGTTACATAATAAATAGACAATATTTTAAGTCGTACATTTGTGTAGTGATTTACAGAGATCTTCTTCCTTTTTTGTGGTGGATAAAACAACTGACTCCTTTATCTTGTTTTCTTTCGGATTGAGGGAAATATAAAAAAAATTAGAGGAAATTAAAAGCATGAAATGCAAGACTGTCAATTCTTATTCAATAGTATATTATTACATTATGATGGTAATTGCAGTATACTATGTATATACATTGTATTTATAGATCTATCATAACTTCGAGTTCCTTTGTCTCGTTGGCCCAATGCTGTTTACTGACTAAGTACAAGGATAAATATTATTTTGGATGAACCTTATTTTCTTATTTTTTCTATTCGATACAACTAAAACTTGTAATTGTGAACATGATTTCATGGAAATATTAAATGACAATATGAAAGAAATTGTTAAGCAAATTTAATGACCCATTGACATTGAATTTAATCTACTGAAAAACATGATCATTGTCAATCTCAAGAACTGAAGTAATGCAATTTTAAATACATGTAATAGTGTTATATCACTTTTTTTTCAGGTCCACCCCATACCTCTAAGGAATACTGAAATATACTAAAATTGTAAGACCGTTGTTTTAATCTTTCCATCAGTGATTTAGATCACTCTAATTTTTTTAGCAAATTTATTGTCTATTTTTCTCCGACTTATACATTTTTGATAATCCAATAAGTCATGAAGGTATCTTTTGCTTTTAATTAGGAAATGTTTGATACTCCAAGAACTAAGAAAAAGTGTAATCTGTATGATAACTAATCCGTAGTGGATGCTTATAATGCAGTGTAGGATGGAGGAATGTCTATATGCAGCCTGCAAACATTTTTGTGGTACAAATTGTGCAATTGAACCAAGAGTAAAAGGGATAGTTAGTATAGAAGTAAGTATGTACTAATCAAGACACTGACAAACATCAGTTCTGATCAGCTTTTTGGTGAAAACAAAACCATATAAAATATTTACAATAACTGAAAACATTGATTGATTGATTGTTGGTTGCTTAACGTCCAGTGGCAAATATTTCATTCATGTTCAGGACGATCAATGAAAACAAGCTATGTTAAATTCTAATTCGTAAACTCAAACGAACATGAAATATTTATCAAATAACCACAAACTCTTACATGGGAGACGCCACTTGCAGAGACAAGCGCACATTT